AACCAAAATTAAAAATAATTTTTGAACTAAAAGTTCCATTTGCTCGTACACTTAACATTGCCCCCAGTTAGCATTTACAAATAACGGTTAGTATCCTAGCAAATTTTTGAGTGAAAGCTTACTGTTTTCCAAAATGTTTTAAGCTCTTAAGTAACTTTAAGCTCTATATGTCGAAAATTTTCTTTTTATCATTTTCAGATTCAGCGAAAAATTTTACTAAAGATAAAAGTAAGGTCACGTCTGAAAAATACACGATTTTTTTGTCCGCCTGTGTTATTTTACATCTGTGAAGAAATAATATACTTATTGTATAAGGTATATACTCATTGTATTGATGTATAAAGGTGTCACTACATCTAACCGCTTGTCAAAAATGTTTTTATAGGTATATCCTAATAAATTTCTACTATATTCGTCAATTATAACGGACACCTAATAAAAATTTTATACATAAAAAAAATAATCCGCTATAATCTAATTTATTCAACTACTAATTTGTTGGATAGGTAACTATTAAAATTGTAACAGATATAAAAAGAATATGTAACCGTATTTATAATATAAATGGTTAAATAATAACAATTGGTATTATTAGTAAATATTAATAGAAAAATATAGTTTAAAACAGATCCAAGATTATAGATTATGTAGCTACTTGTTTTTTCTGTTTTACATTTGTCCTCTTTATTGCACATGAGTACTACTAATATCACAAATCCTTACACTGAATAAGAAAGTTTTACCAAAAACTAAACATGTTTATAATGTAAATAGTTTTCCTAATATTTAGCTAGCTAGAAAAAATAAATTTGGAAAAAAAATTATAACAATTACGAGTACGTCTACATTTTAATCTTAATTAGTAAAAAATTAAGCTATATCGGAAATAATTATAAAACTGACTGTATTATTATTAGAAATCTGAACTGTTAGGGCGACTACAGGGTAGACTGCAGGCCGGGTTCTCTTTTATGTAATTTTTATCAAACAAAAAATGACGCAACCGTTGCCTTCTTATAATTGTACAATAACAGTCTGCCTCTGACCTGAAGCTTCTCGTCGATCAATTTATTCAATACGTATCCCTATGCCGGCCCTGTCGGCGTTACGGTGAATAATCCAGATTTGTTGTGCGTGTGTGAATGAGTTTGATGCTTTGCTTGGTCCAGTGTATACCATGTGTTTTTATTGGCTGTCAGTAGCATTATATATTGTGAGCATAGATTGACAGACGGCTTGAATACAGTACCACAGATTTAACCTATTTCTCTACTACAACTCGTACTGTTGCTTGCTACCATAATATAGGTTACTACTGTTTATTTATTTGATTGTCGCCACAAAGTTTCCGATGTCTAATTACACCGGCACACAAAATAGAAAGAGTGGGTTGTACCTTACATTTGACCCAATAGGCTTTATGTATTTTGACGTGTTGATTCCGAATCTGTTTAGTTCGTTCAGCTCAAACACTCCTAAAATTTTGTGTATATGGCAAAAATAGTGAAAAGGCGTCGAAAATCACGCTAGTGAAGGAAAGAAAATCGAAAAAAAATTGTTCTGAACTTGATCAAGTGGGTTTCTTATGTATTTTGATGTGCTGAATTCCAGTCGAAAGTCTATTAGCTGTATCACCCACAGATTTTGCAAAAAAAAAACGCAAAAAATTTCTGAAAATGGCAAAAAGTTAGATTAATGAGAGCAAGAAAATTTAGAACGAGGTTTTCTAGATTGGATCAAGTGTTCTCATAAATTTTCTCGAATTTTTAATCAGTTGAGCTTTATCAAAAATCGCAAAAAAAAAAATGGAGATCGTGAATCCCAAAATATCTTGAATATCATGGATATGAATTACTTCCAAATAAATTCGACTGACTCGAGCCAGGCTTTCTTTAATGTTGCTTTTACACTTTTCTTCTCTTGTAGCGAACTCGGCGCTTTTTCATTTTTTTTTTGCCATTTACTCAAAATTTTGGGTGTGTTTGAGCTAAATGGACTTCAGATTCGGATTCAGCACATCAAAATACATAAAACCTAAGGGGTCAAATTAAAGGCACTTACTTCAGCTTCTCTAGCGTTGCACCTTGCTTCGCCATAAATAAGATGCACGTCGAATGTAAATTCGTCCATTTTAACAACTTCGAAGTAAAAATTCGTTGGAAACAAAACAAATGTGAAACATTCAATTAGGTCTGATCACTTATTACGTGACAGCTCTGTTCATTTGTTTCATTATTCCTCACAGGTTGACACAGATGACATTGCATGGCTAGACTAGATGCGTGCAATAGAACTTTTATCACACAGTTGTGGATAAATTCAATTCTTACTAACATCTTGTGTAGGACATGCAGTTAATAAACACTTATCAGAAGAGACACATGTGCTTATTTTGTTTAAAATCATTTTTTTCGTTATACTTAATAAAAATTACTTAAATATCTTTTGGTGTTAATGAGATAACTTTACATTTTTGAACAAAAATTGCTCCAGGGCTAAGACAACTCAGTTCCGGCCAGGGGTTTAGATGCAAAAATTTTTTACCACAATGTCTTCTATATCGTCCTCAAGTTTGGCAACACCTTTTTGAAACACCCTGTATTTCACACAACAGTGTATTATGTAGTTCTTTTTATGTTAGAAACATATTTTTGTTGTATTGTAAAATTAATAATATTTTTCAAATTCTCTTCCTGAAAAAACTTAAAAGGTGAAACCATTTTAGAAATATTTGAAGGCGTAACATCATTTTGTAACTTAAAGCTATTTCCTTCATTAATTATTAAGATCTGCAAAAAAAAATATCTTTGTAACTATCACCTCAACATCACATAACATTACAATACTGCGGACCAAAGTTTTAGGAAATGTTCTTGCGGTTTTAAGGAAATATATTTATAAAAAAACAGTAATTGTTGCGATTCGAAGATATAAAGCAAACTTGCTGGTATTAACAATTGTATCTTTAATAGACTAGGCCGTATCTGTTTTGGTTTGGGTGAATCGTATATCCACGGAGATTTTTGGCTTTTTGGCTTTCAAACATCACTAGAAATGAAAATTTTTCTATGCGCATAAAAAAAACGCTTAACTTTTGGCGGCACAATATGTTAAAAAAAATCGAAAAATGTCATATTTTCTTGGGGTATTTAAATTGGGTATAGGACCTTTATACTTGGTTCAAAAAAACTTCATGTTATGTAGAATCATCACACCAAATTTCATCAAAATCGGTTCGATAGAATTTGCATAATAATTTTGCAATCCAGATTTTGAAAAAAAATTTGGAAATTTTCAAAGTTTTGAACAGCAAAAACCAAGGCCCTTAGATACTTGAAAATTTAATCACATATAGAAGGACTCTCAAGCTTTTAAACTTTTTGAAAAATTCGAATCCGTCAATTAGGAGAGCTCTGGCGCTTGTTTAAACATTGGTCGAATTTTTGTACTTTATAAACAATTAGAATAACTTTGTGAATATTCAACCAAATCAAATTTTTTAAAGCAGGTTTTTAAAGCAGATTTTAAAAGTAGGTTGCCAATGAAGAAAAGTATTGTAATCTTAAATCTGGTAAATACTCGGAATACCAAAGGTATTTTTCGAAAAATTAGCCCAGATGTCCCAGTACATTTAATGTAAATGACGGTTAACTTTTATCGGCTATAACTACGTAACTAATTGACCAATCGATCTGTTTTTTTTTAAGAGGCGTCTTTCCAAGAACTTTTAAAACCTGCTTTAAAAATTTTTATTTGATTGAATATTCACAAAGTTATTCTAATTGTTTATAAGTACAAAAATTCGACCAATGTTTAAACAAGCGCCAGAGCTCTCCTAATTGACGGATTCGAATTTTTCAAAAAAAGTTTGAAAGCTTGAGAGCCCTTCTATATGTGATTAAATTTTCAAGTATCTAAGGGCCTTGGTTTTTGCTGTGCAAAATTTTGAAAATTTGTATTTTTTTTTTTAAAATCTGGATTGCAAAATTATTATGCAAAATCTATGGAACCGATTTTGATGAAATTTGGTGTGGTGATTCTACATAGCATGAAGTTTTCTTGAGCCAAGTATAAAGGTCCTATACCCAATTTAAATGCCCCAAAAAAAAATCCCTAAAAAGCATTGTTTTTTAACCCCATTTTTGCGATTTTTTCGATTTTTACCATAATAATCATGATCCATTCGATTTGTAACTAGTCATGTTTTATAAAAAATTTAATTACAAAAATTGATTTCCTTTACCAATTTCGCCTAAAATGAACTCTTGAAAAGATGAAGAATGAAATAGGAAGAAAAATATGACATTTTTTGAATTTTTTTAACATATTGTGCCGCCAAAAGTTAAGCCCACGTATTTTTTATGCGGATAGAAAAATTTTCATTTCTAGTGATATTTGAAAGCCAAAAAGCCAAAAATCTCCGTGAATATACGATTCACCCATATATGGCTTTTAAAACAGATACCGTCTGGACTATAATGATTTAACGGTTAAACGTCTGTTCATATACCTGTTATATTCTAAACAAGTGTATAATTGAAATGGATTACTATTTTAATAGTAATCGTTTTGCATTTCATGCTTCAATTAAGTCTTAGATGAAAGGTGCGATAATTACAATTATCTAGATATATTTGTCTTAATGAGTTTAATAAATTAAATTAATCCAATTTATATATCAATATTGTAATTTATGTAAACTTGATAAGCACAAGATAATATTTTTCCAAGCATACAGCATAATTGCTTTGTACAACTATCATTTTCTCCCATCTATAATACAAATACGAAGACTTTCTAAGATTATCTCATTGCTTCAGAAACCTGTTCCTTGGGTTAACTAAAAATATTTAATAAACCAAGGGTTTAAAACCATTTGTTGTTTAACATGTTGCAGTTTAAAAAGGTATAGAATATTTTATTGAAATATAAAGATATTTAACGTAGGCTAATAAATTTGATGATAAAATTAACAGAAAAAATTTATTGGATTAGTATAGATATACTCGTATGCTGGTGGTAGTGCCAGTGGTGGTAATAGTGTCGGTGATGGTGATGGTAATGTGCTGCTGCAACTGCTACTGATGCTGATGCTGATGATGGTGATGGGGATGGCGATGGTGCTGGTCATAGTGCCGCTGATGGTAATAGTGATGAGGGCGGTGGCGACAACGATGACGACGACGACGAGGAGGACGATGACCATAGGGGAGAATGATGATGATGAGGATGATGATGATGAGGATGATGATGATGAGGATGGTGATGATGATGGTGATGATGCTGGTGATGATGATGGTGATGATGCTGGTGATGATGCTGGTGATGATGGTGGTGGTGATGGTGGTGGTGATGGTGGTGGTGCTGATGGTGGTGGAGGTGATGGTCATGGTGGTGATGGTGATGGTGCTAGTGGTGATGGTGCTAGTGGTGATGGTGCTAGTGGTGATGGTGCTGGCGGTGAAGGTGCTAATGGTGATGGTATTGGTGATGGTGATGGTGGTGGTGATTGTGGTGATGGTAGTTGTAGTGATGGTGGTTGTGGTGATGATGATGATTATGATGGTACTGGTGGTGCTGGTGTTGGTGGTGATCGTGCTGGTGGTTATGGTGGGGGTGGTGATGCTGTTGGTTATGATGGTGCTCGTGATGATAGTGCTGGTGGTGATGGTGCTGGTGGTGATGGTGCTGGTGATGGTGGTGGTGGTGATTGTGATGGTGGTGATGGTGATTGTGTTGGTGGTGACAGTAGTGGTGATGGTGCTGCTGATGCTGGTGCGTTGTGATGATGCTGATTGTGATTGTGCTAGTGGTAATGGTGCTGGTGGGGGTGGTGATGGTGGCAATGGTGCTGGCGGTGATGGTGGTGGTGGTGATTGTGGTGATTGTGGTGAAGGTGGTGATGGTGATTATGGTGGTGGTGATGGTGATACTGGTAATGGTGATAGTGTTGATGGTGTTGGTGGTGCTGGTGGTGCTGATGTTGGTGGTGGTGGTGATGGTGGTGGTGGTGATGGTGGAGGTGCTGGTGATGGTGATGGTGGTGGTGCTGGTGATGGTGATAGTGATGGTAGTGGTGGTGGTGGTAGTGGTGGTAGTTGTAGTTGTAGTGGTAGTGGTAGTGGTAGTGGTAGTGGTAGTGGTAGTGGTAGTGGTAGTGGTAGTGGTAGTGGTAGTGGTAGTGGTAGTGGTAGTGGTAGTGATGGTAGTGGTGGTGGTGGTAGTGGTGGTAGTTGTAGTTGGTAGTGGTAGTGGTAGTGGTAGTGGTAGTGGTAGTGGTAGTGGTAGTGGTAGTGGTAGTGGTAGTGGTAGTGGTAGTGGTAGTGGTAGTGGTAGTGGTAGTGATAGTGGTGGTGATGGTGATGGAGATTAGACGTAACCAAAAGAGAATGGGTTGCAACAAAGTTTCCAGTTTTTTTATGCTCATTATTATGTTTTTAACTACAATATGTGTGATTTTAACATTTTCCACACAAATATTTGAGGTAAGAAATTAATCATTATCTGAATTCAGATTTATATTCGTCTGATCAAATTATTAGGGAGTAGGATGATTTTAGTTAGATATCAGTCCTGATACTGTGGTCCAATCCACAAAATATGCTATTTTAGGTAATTATTTATATTAAGAAGAACCATGAGTTGAACAGTGAAAACTGAATTCAGGTTCATGTTGAGCAAGTCAACGTACATTTGTCATATATTTGTACTGCACTATATACAGGAATAAATTTTTTCCTCAATACTTCTTATTACTACTATTTTAACTTGCAAACCAGGGCATTATGTTCTTATTATTATGTGACGTCAAAAATACCTAACATTACAAATAAATATAATGAAAAAATTAAATTGGTATATCCCAAGGAGATAATTTAAAAGTTATCCAGTTGTTCTTCAGTTGGTCGGACCCAAGATATTTTAACGGCTTTATGTCTACGTGTTGGGGAATTATAAAGAATCCCTAAAAATGTCGAAATTGATCCTTCATATATTAGGTAAATCTAAAACTTTTATTCAATGATATTATATTAAAATTAAGGTAAACATTGAACAAAATAAGGTCAGACACACATTTCGTCAATCAAGTTAACCTGGCTAAGCATTTTATTTCTTTCTTTTTCGAAAATGTATTACGAATTTTTAGTACGTTCACTAAAAGTAAATATTCATCCTTATCTACTATTTTGTACCATTATTATTATTTGTATTATTATCTACTGTTTTGTAGTTTTCCTTAAATAACGTTGTATTACAATTTTTCTCATCCTATATTTATGGTAATGACTATAATCTCAATTTCATTATAAATGTTTACTTTCATTCACATAAGGGAACAAGGTGATCGAAAACTCACGTTGGTTTTTTATTTATTAATATTGGTCTACAGGATATCGATTTCCTTTGTATTTAACTATCTAAACTTATGATTTATTGGGCTTGTTCTTGAAGTGTGATGTTAGATTAAACGGGCACGATTTTCAATCTTTATTATTTATTAGGAACACCTAGTTTTAGATCACTTCCCACCCACCTGAAAAAAAAAGCATGATTCCACTAAGTACCGTTAAGATGGTCATATTTTATCTTAACCTATGATTATTGATGAATTGCAGTGGTTCTTGATTTAATAACTATGTTTGCAAAATTATATTAAAATTATAATAAATATAACTTTATGAATAGTTAAATAATATGCCTTTATTTTCATATAAAAACAAAATATGGAACATAATCATATAAATGGCGGCGAGATCTAGCAGAGCTACTCATTCTAACCGCTTGTTTTACAAAAAAATAAAAAATACATAAATATATATACACAGAGTAAATAAACACTACTATGTTTTAAGGGTAACAATGTGTTTCTTAATTGCTATTTTAAAATTATTATTAAATATGTACATTAGGTATTTTTTTATACTTATACAGGGTGTCTCAGAATATGTGAGAAATCTTTCAGACTTATACAGGGGGCGTTAAAATAGGAAATAGGAAATTGACAGTATACTGGGTGTTTCCCATAAGAACCTACACATAGCAGGGGCATGTAGGGAAACCCAAAATATGGGGATTTAACGCAACTTACCTTTATACTAAGCTGCACCCCTGAGAAGTTATAGGTCTTGAAAGTGGGATTTCAAATTGTGAAAAATATCATTAATCGACACTAAATAGAATTCAATTGAAGGATTTTATAGGGTGATAAGGGATGATGCACCATTAAAATGTGACAAAATTTTTTAAACCGTTGGCAATGGCAATGGCGAAACAATTGATAGTTGTCAAGGTCCGCATGGACCATTCTCATTACATTTTTGGTACAGTGGATATCATGACATGACATTTTATCGTCCAGAATAAAAGAGATTCGATATGTTCTAACAAGTTTTCCAGTTTGTCCTCATCAAAACATTTTTATTTCAAGTTTTTATCTCCAAAAAGATTTTTTATATCAGAAAAACAAAGCCAATTTATATTTTTCCAATGGGAGCCCTAGATACTTCACAATCAAAATGTCCGTAAAATTACAAAAGGGAGTTTTATACATATTATTTATATTATTACTATTACTAATATATTCTTCGTTTGTATAAAACCACAAGGATCTTAATAACCTTTTTTGTAGAGCAGATTCGAATTTTTGGCACAAGATGAACTCATAAGATGTCGCAACATCTAGACTAAAAGGGTTTTAATATACAGGGTGCCCCACGGTGACGAGACATTAGAGATATTTCAGAGACTACTTCGATTTTAATTTTGAAAATTCTCAAGAAATTATGCAATATCCATTGACTGCGCGAAAAACATAAATACCTTAAAAACCAGAAGAGGTAGGCAGAGGAAACCATCATACCATTCGAAAGAGAACAAAATCGTTTATCAGGTTGCACAAAAATCACATGGTGTTCCATTTAAAAAAAAATAAGTTAAGATGATTTAAAGTTGACTAAATTCAGCATTAAATTTCTACTACCCTGTACGAAATTAAATCATCTTGAAATTATGGCAGGGAAGCTTAGAGTTTTAGATATGTCTGAGATAAATTTTATCGCTCTAACTTTATTATTGTAAAATACACATCTTTTTGAATTAGGCAGTGCTTTTTTAATTTTTTTTTAAATTAAATATATCAAAAACGGTTAACTTTGGAAATAGGAAAGATTTATGAAAGTTCATCTAAAAATTGTCGTCCAATCCAAAATTGCAATAATATACAGGGTGTTTCATTTAAAATAACGAAGATGACGTTAACTTCCGGTATAACCGGAAGCGTTAGATGGACGCCATTATTTTAGTTAAACACTATTGCCAAATTCAAAATTAAAATCGAAGTAGTCTCTGAATTATGTCTAATGTCTCGTCACCATGTAGAACACGTGTTTTAGGTAGATTTTTATACTTTTTCTTTAATTACAAATATATTTACGCTAACAAAATAAGTAAACAAACAAACAAGTATCATCAATGAACCAACTGACTACTCTTTTCCACCGTTATTTAGCATTTTGTACCCATTCCAGTTCTTTATTACAGAAAACCCTATTTTTACAAGTATAACATAAACAACAGATAATGAAATATTTTGTATAATTAAATTAAATTTATAAATACGGGAGAAATTATTGAATATTCAGTCCCACATACTTCTCTGTATAGCTTCACTAAAGATTCTACAGAATTTTAGTAAAATTTTAACTTTTTTTAATTGATGAGGTTTTTTTATCTGCTTTTAATTTACACTACTGTTATTGTTTTTATCAAATAACCTTCAAGGACATTCTGCGTAGATTCTGTGTAGATCCTGCGTAGAATATTTATCTAAAAATATGTGACTTCATTTAAAAAAATATAGTTTGTCCCAATGATGGAACAAAATTCATATTTTTTCCAGTTCAGATTTAAAAAAATCGCTGAAACAAGTCAGTTAGTAAATTGTCACTTTTCTGCAATTTTTTCTATTTTTTTGAGCCATGTTTGAGAGACCTATAACTTTACCGACATTTTTTTTAATAGGATGCTCTATATTTTACAGTATAAATAGATAGCCCTTCTAAAGAAGAATTCAGTGATATAAGGTTAAACCTACTTTTTTGTCATAGTTGTCAAAAAATGAAGGAATGATATGAAAACAATAATTTAGTATTACTTTTTATTACAGCAAATGTTCAAAGTGGTCCACGTTAACCATTGCACAATGCCCAATTCGGTGTTCAAAGTTATCAATTACATTTTGAATAACATTTGGTGTTATATTCTCTGATACGATTTCTCAATCCTTCGATAATACCTAGTCTGGTCTGTTCACATACACATTGCTTTTTAGATAACCCCACTAAAAAAATCTAGTGGGGTTAAGTCAAGGAAGCGTGGTGGCCATTCAAGCGGCTCTCTTCTATCCATCTATTTTGGAAAATATTATTAAGGTACACTAAAAGAAATGCGTTTTATTCTTTATTAGAATTCTATATGCCATTATAAGACCATTGTATACTATATGTGACAGTTAAACAGGTGAATATTGGATATAAAACGCGTATTGCTAGCACAATTGTATAGTGACTATAAACCTTATTCTTTATTAAATTATTATATAACTAGTATACAACGTTTTTTATACCCTTTACGAAATAATAGCAATAACTGTTATTAAAGTGTTCCATATCATTATTAGAATCTAGTACTGGTTATAAGTGTTAAGTGTTATAATAATAAATGTATTAAACTGTTGTATACTCTGTATGAGTTAAAAACATATGACATTAAGTTTTCAGAAATTTTA